TAGTTGCCAACCCAATATACAGGGTGGTTGGTAACTGGTGGTACAAGGGGGTGATTTGTTTTCGAGAAAATCGACTTTGAATTTTCGCTCGGTACGCGGTTATAACGGATCTCACTGTAGATCGTTGTCTCGATGGAAAAATTAAAAAAAAAAAAAATCTTATTCTATATTTTCGACTCCTTTTTTCGCGTAGAATCACTCCCTTTCCGCTTGTACCACCAGTTACCAACCACCCTGTATAAGGCAACGATCTCTCAAACACCATAATGTTCGAATAAAGTTACTATGATCCGAAACGTGTATTCTTACACTATTAGAATTTCTACGTTATTAGAATTTGAAATATATTTTGAAATAAATAACTCAACAAGAGGATCATCTATCGATCATGGTAATATCTTTTGAATGGAAGAGTATACATATACGTACCCAGTATCCTTATCCTTTAGTTAGTTATCCTTTAAGCGGTTAAAGAAAGAAGGAAGGAAGGAATAAAAATCAGTAGAACACGAACTTCGGCGCGGAAAACGCGTATTGCGAATTGCACGGTCGCGAACGTAATGAAATATTATCGGCACGCCTTGAGCGCCGTTAACGATCCATAGAGGCCGATGGGTTCCCGATCATCGACTTCTTTCGCAAACCGTCGATGCAGGGACAATTCGTTTCTCTTCGATAGTCGCGATCGACCATCTTGCCAACGTTAATTATACTCAAACGTTAGTGAAGATATATGACGCGGGCGATTAATAACGATCCTAGACAATGCTCAATTTATGGCTCGTAGGAGACAACGCTTTTAACGACATTGGTACGCCCCGTTGCGAATGCTGCTCGGTGGATCATGGTCTTCCATCGTTTTTCATGGAATAGGTACACTGGAATATCCTTTTTACAGCGATTGCTTATGGAGAGGTATTTGCGTTAAGTTATTGGCTTGTCCCATCGAAAACTTTTTCGTTTCTCGGTGTTTTAAAGCACTTGAAAGGAGGACGATGAAATTGTTTGATTTCCAAATTTTCAAATTCTCCAATATTCGAATCTTCGAACAGTCTAACGTACGGATGACAACTGAGAAACTGGATGTTCGTGAGAAGCACGAAGATATCGATCATTCTGAATCTTCGAAACCACGATGTAACGAGAGTACCTTTCGTCGAGAAATGCGCACCTTGTGAGGTTCGATAAAATACGAGCGATCATAGGCGTCGTATCTTGTCAGCTATAAATTCGCTACCTCGTGTCGATTTGTTGGTCTCTCAGTTCGTTCGAAAGTCGATGGCAATAGGATGAGAGTGTTCCTTCTCTTCCGAAACGGAGGATTCGCGGAGAAAAGGAGAAAATAAGCGAAAGTGGTAATTGAAAAACGAGGTATGGGTTAGCTAGAAAGAGAGGGAGAGAGAGAGAGAGAGAGAGAGAGAGAGAGAAACGAATAAACGAGAAATGGAAATAGGAGAAAAAGCGTTACACATAGCAGAAAAAGGAATAGAACGGTAAGGAGAACGATCGAAAGTAGTCGATACTAGCAATGCACAGACACGTCGAGGAGGAGAAATGATATTTACAAATGCGATAATTTTCCCACAGGAAGCGATACATCGAAGGCGATCTTATACGAATATTTATAATTCGGGATAGAGGAAAGTTCAGTGCATACGATTATGTTTCTCGGTGTAGAAAGTTACGCGAAGAGCATTTCTCGCGTTGTATCTTCTCGTACACGATGCAATATATCAGCATCGTGCGATAGTTATCGCGAATCGATAAAATTTACGCGGATTTCGTCTCCGATATTACGGTTCTCGAATTTTGACATTTTAGAATCGTCTCGTGTTCGACTTTCGTTGATTTTCAAATTATCAAGTATCGAATTTTCAAGTACGAAATTTTCTCATGTTCAAGCGTGAAATTTTCTAACTTTTAAATTTAGAAGTTGCCAAATTACGAAATATCCAACTATGCAAATATTCAAATCTGCAAGTATTCAAATTCTCGAATATTTAAGTTTCTCAAATTTCCAAATTGTAAGGTTTTCTAATTCTCGGACCCTCAAGATTTGTAATCATTGTGTCGTTAAATCCTCGAAACTTTTAACGCTCGAGTTCCTAAATTCTCAAATTTCATGACTTTCGCGTTCGAAGAATTCCAAATTGTTTAACGTTTAAACGTCCAAACATTCGGCAAGACCGAAGCACAATTATGAACGTGATACGTTGTCATACTCACTTTGCAGCCCTCGCAGCTGGTTACGCCGTAATGATAACCGCTCGCTTTGTCACCGCAAACTCTACAGGCCACGAAACTCTTCGCGGGCGTCGAACTGTTCGAATCGGCAGCCGCGTAATGTTGCTCTGGAAAACAAAGCAGACAGAGCTACGTTATGTAACGTGATCGTCATCCGTAAAACTAGGTAAACGTTCTGCCAAATGTATCTCTATTCCTTCTTGGAAGGAAGAAATTTATACGAAAACTTTGTCTATAATGACGAGAAACAAATTGCACAGAGTACACGATGATTTATTTCATTTATTTTAATATTTTATCTGATATTTCATAGCAGTTCTGATGAATCTTTCATATATTTCCGCCTACCTTTTATTCTATTCAGTTTTAACGGCGTCGGCTATTGTAATCGTTGAAATGACATTAGAGCTTGTATCGCGATAATTTAATATAATAGCTTCCTGCTCTGTTGTACAATCCCCCTTTTTATCAGAATCAAATAATTTAATAAATTGTAGATTTTTCGAAGCACTTAAGAATTCTGATTTTTCCCAATTAAACATGTAAAAATATTTGCAAGTACTTAAAAAACACATGATAACATTTATCTGAGGTATACACAGATGCTTAAAAATATTCTTCTTTCATATAGGTCGCATATAATTCGCGATCGAAGCATAAAAACAGCTTACGGATCGTAATGTGTCGTGCAATGTTATGAATTAAACATAAGCAGGATAGCGTCGTTAATTATCCGTTGTTTAAGATGTCATTAGCGTGGAGTCGAGCATTAACATTTAACGATACAGTTGGACTAATTGCGAGTGGTTAAACGAAACGTAATAAATTTTCTCGCATTAACGTCATATCATTATTTTCGGACTGGAATAGTCGTATCATCTCCTCCACATCGTAACCTCGTTTCGCTGGAAAATATATCTATGTAATCCAACAGAGAAGGAGGTAAGAAACATTCTTATATTCTCTGATCATCGATTCAATACGTTCTCCAAACGAACCTCGTCGAATCGCTCGTAAACATGCTTCTCAATGTCGAGTTTCCACGCGATCATCGCCGATTCGAGCGCAACGGACGAGATCACGGCTCGCCTTCCTTCTTTCTAACGACCAAAAAACGAGCACAAAGCGCGTGGGGCTAACGGAATCGCTTCTCGATGGAAATGGTCACGCGTACACAGACTCCAGGGAGAAAGAACGGAGGAAAAAGGGGCGACTATCGGTTCTAGCCAAATAGAGTCGAACAACGGCGAAACGAAGATAGACGCAGGGAAACAGCGAGAAATACAGAGATAAAGGAAGTCGCACTGACAAACGGACTAGGAGAAAGTGAGATGAATCGACCAGATACAGACATTTGAGATAAACGCGAGAAATAAAGGACAATTATACGAGCAACGGACGAGTCGCATAGACAAAGAAGATGAAAAAGGACAGGATAGAAGACTGTTAATTCTAATGAAATAAAATCGAAAACCAACGGAACACAGACAAACGGGTAGCAACGGACGGAATGAGAAAGACAGCGAATGTCTAACAGAACGAAATAGAAGGAAACACGGAACAAGGTAAGAGCAAGAGAAGGGAAGAACAGGACGAAGAACCGAATCGATTCTATTCGAATAAAATGGAACACCGATCAAACAAAGATAAAAATACGAGATCAGAAGGAACAACAAAAATACCGGATACTGTCAGACAGGCTAAAATAAGGGAAGGCCAGGATTAAAGAAGAAAAGGAGAAGAAATATGTTGGAAGTGTATGTACAAAGAAGAGTGGCGTCGTGTCAGGACGACGATGGTACGAGAACCACGTTCGTCCGAGGCACGGGCTGGTTTCTTCCATTGGACGAGGAACAGGCCCGTTGCATCCATAATGCAACGACGGTCGGGAACGCCACCGAGGAAGGGAACAGGCTGCTGCTCCTGCTGGCGCGAGGCTCGCAGCCACACGCGGTGGTTCGTGTAACGGAAAGCTCGCGTCACCGTTACAGAGAGAACACACCACACGACCTAGGGAGAACAGCGAGAGGAAGAACGAGCGGACGAGACGAGCGGAGCGAAGAGGGAAGGAAAAGAAAAAGGAAGAGGAAAAAGGCGAAACGGGGCCGTCCGCAAAGGGAGTGCACAGGGAACCGTATAGGAGTAGTCCGCAACATTATATATACCGTTGGACTCTCGTGAAACCCCTGCCAGAAGACGTGTCGTTACGTGGCCAGGGGTTAGACAGAGATCGATAGACAGAGAGAAAGACTGATGAAAGGAAGATGGCGGCGAGAAGAAGCAGCGACGATGGGAAGGATGGATAGGAGAAGTACGCTGTGCAAAAGGGAGCAAGAAGAGTATAAGAGACCGAGCAAGGAGCAGTGTAGTTGATCGTAGCGTCTGGAAACGGGGCCCGATCGCCGGCACTGTATTCCGGCCACCGATGCGATTTTATGAAGCCCGTAACGCCATCGAACGGTACCGAAATTCTTCTACCGCGACAAAGACAATCACGGGAAGGACAATCACTGTCGAGCACGAATCGTCCTCTTATTGCAAGTGCAACTATATAACATTCAAGTATAAAGTATGATAAGGGTAAAAATATGTTTTGTTTATTATTTGTCTGGAATGTACGCAGTGCATCTACGTTTGCAGGAACTGAAACCCAATCTGAAATTGATTTATCCTTATGAACTTACAATTGTGCGATTTTAGAAATCTGTAATTAAGAAACAACTCGTACAACGCATTTGATATTGGAGATTTTGAACGGAACTCTTCCGGGTGATTCCGGAAACGTTTTTGGATTTGTAATAAAAAAATACGCGAAACTGATCAATCTAGGAATAAAAAAGGAAAAAAGGTACTTTTTGGACAACTTTTATTTAAAAGTACGCCACGGCGTGCGCGGTATGTCACCGGGCATCCGTAATAATTTTGATGTCGGACGACCATGTGACATATCGTGTATGTCATCCGAGTAAAATAGCGTTTCAGCTAAAATTTCAAAGAGATAAACGCGCAGGAGGTAACGATATTTATTTCAAGACTGAGAAAATTATGTAACACGTATACAATTGGTATAAACGTGATTTATGCTTGCAAACCAGAACAGACACAGGAAAAGTATAAAAATTTTACTAAAATATAGAAATACATTTACACATATGGTTAAACGAAAGAAAAATTGTTTAAAGTAGTACGAATTTTAAATGATCCTCGCGATAATTTTTGGGAAAGCCTTCCAAATATAAACTTGGATTATCTCCGCAGCCAGTGTAAAAATAATTAATACTTTTCCGTATCCCTGGAGGTTTTCGCTGAAAATACTGATAACATACGTGTGTTGCCGTTAAAAAAAATTATAAAATAAAAATAACTTTAAAAAGCTAACTTTAGGAAGATCGCAGTGAATTTTCACACACGTCGATTTTCTGGTTTTTATCGTCACCTTACGATTAAACAGCAGAATATTGATCAGACGTAATTGGAAATGGAAACGATCTATCAGATTTAAAGAGGAATGTTTAGCCGACAAGTCGAAGTTTCGTGGAAGGTAAACGTAGCAATCATCGAGACAAGCTGTATTTTACTAGATTTTCCAAGAAGATAGATATTTCCAAGATTTCAAAGAACGCGAAAAAATACAGTGAATTACAAAAATTACACGAAAAAAAAAGAATACAAATTTTCACTCGATCGATCGATAACGTACAAACTACAATTTTTAAACTATTTCTTTGGAAAAAATATAGCAAACGATCTTCTACGTTCTTCTCTTCTCTGTAAGCTTTATTACAGAGCTTTATTTATTTATTCTCTTTAAGCTGTAAGAAGATAGCAAGCACGACGTATTCAAGTGTTGAAAACTGTGCAGTAGTCAAGGCGACCCTGCCTAATCAACGGTGTGTGTATTCTTAAACGATCGAACGCCGTGCCAACACTCTCACACGTTCGCACGCCGATACATTGTAATTTATCGCGGTCCCGGATGGTCTGTAATTTCCAGGGACGATGGCGGAAGTGAACGCGCCACACCGCGCACGTAATGACGTATACTACACCACCGGTGAACCGAAGTTTTTCGGTGCTTCTTCATGGGAATTCGTTAAGGCGTACCGTATTAACGACGCCTTAAACGGTCGTGCACGAATAAATTTTCCCGCGTACCAAACTTTTTACCAGCGAGCTCGTTTCCGTCTTGGAACAACGAGATTCATCGCGGCCGAGCGTTCCACGTATGCAAATTAGACACGAAACGACGCTATCGTATTTCCCTACGTTGCATGTACTTTCCGCTGTTTTAATGCTTTTTTCCTTCCATCTTTTTGCCCCTTCCCCCTTCCCACTCCGATTATATTTGACAGAAGTGGGAGGATTTAGCCGAATTGATTCTCATTGCGAGAGGCAAGTTGATTTTGTTTTTTTTAGCTTTTATAGAGATTTTTACCGTGAATTTTACTCGGCTGGTGTACACTGCCGTTCAAGAATACACGGACACTCGTTTATGTCTGACAGACTGTAACTTAATTGCCGAGATGAAAACGGAAAGATCCGGAACGATTTTATCCTTCGTTAAAATTGTCACGCAACGTTACAATGAAATTTTAGTTTGTATGTGTTAAGTGCGCGTTTCGGAGCTGTTTTATCGTTTAAAAGGATCACATTATTCTTAGCTTTGTAGATCTTTTCGGTATAAGTTAATTAAATGGTTTTTATGTTGTAAGATATTTAACTTGTTTTTGTAATGTAATACCGGGCGATATTTGTCTATTTCATTAACCAGTAGCATTGGGTTGGCAATTAGGTAGGCAATAGGGTCATTAGGTGGTAATGACAAAATCCACAATCACTTAGTTGCCAACCCAATAGTAACAAGCAGCAATAATAAGTTCACTTCGCTGTATCTTACGCTGACGCCACGTAGATGTTTCATGTACTCTATGAATATGCTTGGATATACAGGGTGGTTGGTACAAGCGGAAAGGGGGTGATTCCACGCGAAAGAAGAAGCCGAAAATGTAGAATACAAATTTTTCGTTCGAGGCTTTGTTTTCCAGAAAATCGACTTTGAATTTTCGTTCGGTATGCGTGCGATTAAAGAAAAATTAAAAAAGATATA